TAAAGTTAGACAACGTGCTCATCTACCGCTCGGACTTCCAACGCATCAAGCTCTGCGATTTCGGCGAGTCCTTTCCCACAGGTACCACTGTAGAGCGGCGCAATGAGTGGCTGCCATACAGTCCGCCTGAAGTATTAGAAATCAAACCGGAGGGCAGTTACAAGTAAGTGCCAAAGTCATAAAAAAAATCTCAAATTAAGTAACGTGATTAACCCTGATTTTAGAGCCGATCCCAGCCACGATGTGTGGCAGTTTGGCATTGTGATTTTTGTGTGTTTAACCGGGTGCCTGCCCTGGCAGAAGGCTGCCTCCGATGATCCGCGGTACGTGCGCTATGTGGCCTGGCAGGGCGGCCTGATGATGATGCCGCTGCGGCGCACTCCGCGCCTCTTCAAGCTCCTCACCTCGAATGCCCAGCGCATGTTCAAGCGCTTCTTCGCCAGGATCTCCAACCGTCCGAAGAGCCTGGCCGACGTGACCAAGTTCCTAGACGACCGCTGGCTGGCCAAGACCGCCCAAAAGGAGATGGCCGAGTACGAGACCGACGAGCTGTGTCCCTCCATGTACTCCTTCCACAGCAGTCCGGACGAGAAGAACAAGCTGCTCTACACCCTGGCCGACTGCGGCATCGAGACCAATGTGGACCGGCAGCAGAAGAAGAACCGGATCAAAGACTGGATAGAGTCGTCCATCATCACGGAGGAGGATGAGGTGAGAGATAGTGATTTAGGGGGACAGATGTTGGGAAAGGTACTTGTTTCTTGGAACTAGGTAAGGTACAGTTCATTTGCGAAAGGTACAAAGGTAATTACATTTTTGTAAAAATTAATTTTTTTGGTCAGTTGCACTGAGTTAAGTCTTGTTTTAGAAACTTGTTAAAAATAAACATAATTTATATCTTGAATTAACTTATATTCAAGTTGGATTAACGTTATGATATATTTTTTTGAGCATAAAGTAATAAAAATTGAATTTAGTGGTATCAAGCTAATTTGAAAACAAACATAAATAAAAATATTTCAGTATCTAAATTCCTAACAAAGCTTATTCTTAAGATAGCCAAAATAAATCGACTCAGTTTGTAAAGTCATCTGAAAACTAGACCAACATTTTTTTTGTTTGTGTTTTATTCGTAATTTAAACAGCTAAGCTATTTCTTCCCGACAAACGTAAAAACCTTGTTTGAAGAACGACGTCTTTAAAATATTGCTTAGCTTAAAATTTAGTCTGAGGCTTACAGTAAATAATCTGTTCATACCAAAGGTTAAAGAAATTTCACTTGAAATTTTCAGGTGACATTCTTCCAGTTATAGGTTAATAGAATTAAAGGTAGTATAATTAAACAATAAGCAAATGCAGATGAGGAATTTGGGGTTTTCTTAAGAGAACTGTTTCAATTCACAAATAACTTTTTAGAGATCTGAACAGGTTCCTTCTCTCTTCATGCTCTTGAATGCTAAAGGGAACTGATCTTGAAGTCTTGACAAAAATACCTTAATTAGATTTAATGGGCAACCTGCCAAGTAAAATTGAATTGTCTTAGAAAATAACTAAATTGTTCTTGGGTTAAGCATTTCAAATACATATATAAGTATCCGATCCTTACATACTATACAAACCAAAGGTTGAATATTTTTCCGAGTTAAACAGGTTTATTTCCTTGTAAATTCCTTTTATATTGCAGGAGGAGAACGAGGAGACCAATTCGGCGTCACCATCCTCGTCGGTTTCTCGGGAGCCGCTGCCCGGACACATCTCATCGCTGCGCAAGCCGGCGGCTCCGACGGAGAGCGCCAAGGAGATCATCAGCACCCTGAAGGACGCCACACAGAAGCACTTCGATCCGCGCACGGGGGCACTGCAGCAGGGACCCAGCGAGATGGGCCAGGTGGCCATGTCGTATTCCAAGTCGGCCAGCCCCTCCTCCAACTACAGCACCACGGCGTCCACGCTGAACAACGCCGATAGTCTGTTGACTTTGGGCTCGCGGCAGGATCTGCTGGCCAGCAACCTGACCATGTACACCTCCATGGAGACCGAACTGAACCGACTAGGTGAGGTTGATCCGCGGCTGAACCAGCGCTCCCTGAGCAACAATCCCCTGCTAACCACCTTCGATGTGAACACCTCTCCCGCCGCCAAGAACTCAATTGGAGTGGGCACCCGCGGCTCCAGCCGAAGCATCCTCAAGTCCTCCATCGCCACCGCCGCTTATCCCGCTTTGGGCGCTTTTAACCACGGCCAGAGCCACAGCCACAGCCTCCAGCAGCTGAGCCAGCACCTCCAGACATCCACGGGCCCCACCACCCCCAACAAGAGCTCCTTCTTTCGGCGATGACAACCGCCGGCTTCTACTAGTCACTAATCCCTGCCGCACTTTCAGAGCTTTGCGATGCCCGGCACTCGAGCTATGCTAATCTCCCATATGCTTCTCAAGTTAAAGACAGTGCCTACGGATCGGCCGATGTCGGCGAGATGGCGGCGGCCAGCAGGAGTCCCCGGAGTGCCCCGCTCATGAAGGACACGGCCTACGACCGCACCAGCACCAGCAGCCACAACATCGCCCGGCGCCAGCGCAGATAGCTCCCAGAGGGTTAGCAGCCACTGATTTACAAGTTCCAATAAATAGATATCGTACATTTCTTAAGCGGCGTCCACTCCTTTACTCGGGCACAGGGGATAGGGAAACGCAAACGGGGGTTCTTATTAAAGTACGTTTCATTTATTACGCATCATCAACAGAGCCCAGAAAACGAGCACCGCTCACTTCAGAGGAATGAAACGGGAGCTGTGGGTGGCACCGATACCGGGACGACCGTGCTTGACGGGCTTGTAGGTCAGAGCGAACTCGCCCAGATAGTGGCCGATCATCTCGGGCTTGACCTCCACCTGTGGGTTGGATAGTAAGAGTTAGTTATGTGCATCAAGGGGCAGGTCATGGAGAGGCTTATTTCCTGATCTTATATGGTGTCTTTTTAAGGTATGGCTAACTTACATCTCTGCTTAATTGGTTGTACTAAGACTCGATATTTAACTTCGTTAGACTTGTTTAACTTAGCCTTTGTAAAACAGAAAATTGTACTTTTCAGTAGCGTCACAGAAATGGTTACCAAAATATTCCATAAGCTTGAAAGAACTTTAAACTTTATGCAAAAATGAACAATTATTTGTTTTATATTATTGTTAAAACTTTTTTAACACGATGAATTTAAATCCATATTATTAGTTTTAAGCACAGAGATGAACTAAACTGTAAGAATACTTAATCTGAAACCCTCAAACATAAGATAGCTTTCATTTGAATATTGTGAGACAACTATATAACCTAATATTGAATTATAAGACTCCAGCAGTATGGACAATGAATAGCTAAACCTGTATATGAACTATGAAAAGCTTATATCTATTTTGAGTAAACCATCTTGCAGCTCAGATATATATGTATGTTTTACTAACGAGAACTTGGAGGAATAACCGCACGCGGAGGAACTGACAGAAAATAGTTCGACTTTATGCATAAAAAGCGTGGAAAACAAATGGGTTATGAACCAATTGTTCACCCAATAAAGACACCATAAAAGGTCCTCATGTTAGCTCCATGTCGTTCTCACCTGGCCGAAGTCCTTGCCGTTGTAGACGCCAATGATGGAGCCGGTCATCTCGGGGACGATGATCATGTTCCTCAGGTGGGTCTTGACGATCTCGGGCTTCTCATTTGGGGGCGCCTCCTTCTTGGCCTTGCGCAGCTTCTTGATCAGGGCCATTGGCTTGCGCTTCAGTCCGCGGGAGAAACGCCTGCGAGCGCGGCTGTGCATCAGCTCCACCAGCTGGTTGCTGTTCGGCGGAAAAAGGCGTTTATTAGGGCTAACTCTTGGCAATGCTGCCGGCTGGCTAAAATAACTCACTTGGGCATGTCCAGAAGCTGGTCCAAGTCCACACCGCGGTAGGTGAACTTCTTGAAGGTACGCTTCTTCTTCAGATTCTCGTCGACTTGCTAAATAGAAAAAACACCGAATTAGTTTCCATTTTGCCGACGGACCGCACTGGGAATCCAAGAAATAACATTGGCCATCGTTCGCGGAACACCGCTGGCTGAGCTGGGCACTGCATTTCGGCCAATTCTCGCTCCGATGCCAAGATTTTAATGGATTCTCGAAAAAATATTTACATCGGCCATCTTTTTTGGTTGCGCACAAAAACGGAAAGAGATTTTTGCTAGAGGTGGGGGAGGAACGGTGTTTGGAAACATCGGTCCCATCGACTGCTATCGATGTTATCACCATCCCTAACATGCATCGATATCCAACATTGAAAAATGGTCACTCAGATCGACGAAAAGAACCTTAAAATTGCAAAGCGTTGAAAGGATGATTCGATGCAAATAATCAAAAAATCGTTATTAAAAAGGAAGGTTTTTCGAAAAATCCTCCCGTTTGTGTGGAGATCGGGGTGCCGGGGAATATGGTCGGAAAGGCCCAGTACTCAGGCTACAAAAAGAGTTTCAAAAAATACCATTTACAGCTCACTATTCCTAGATGGTTCGCTTGGGTATTTTCAGTCTTAAAGGTTCACGGTCACACTGCCTAAAACTATTTTACTAAACAGGTGCAAATTTTAGTTTTTAATTGTCAAACTAAAATTTGCCTTTACTAGTTAAAAACAAATAAATTTTTTTTTTCGCTCCCTCTCGTTTGAATCAGTTCATACTTATATAAATATGATTAGATTAATAGCAACCTGAATGAAAAGTTCTAGAAGTAATCAGTAATACCTGTCCCCATCGAATTTGATGTAATTTAATAAGAGTTTAATAGCAATTTAAAAAATTGATTACTTTTTGGACTTAGTAATAATAACCGGGACTAGTAACTGGAATCAGTTCTCAAAATATTATGGCGGTAAATTTGAAAGCTACCCATTTCTTAAATTATGGCAACGTAATGAGATACTTCCTATATTAAGCGATCATTTTTAGAAGATTTTTAACACAGTTCTTATGATTTTATATTTTTTTCGGTGTTTTGCTTAGAGGCAGGCAAATTTATTGGCAACAATTATATTGAAATAGTTTGGAAAGCCGGTAACTTAGAAGACACAAAAAAACTATTAATAATTGGCAGTAAACTACTCTTCAGTTAATATCTTTGATTATACTACTTATTTGGAAAGTATACTTCACAGCTCTGCTTGTGTTTTCAACTGCCTTATCTGTATGTTTAAATTCTATTCTGCCTTGACATGATTGGCTGTGGATTCCGAATCCGCCTTATTTTGGCGTTCTTTTCGAAGCCGTTCCTTGAGTTGGGCTGTTTTCAAAGTCACCATCAGTTGCGTGGAGCTGTAGAGCCATGTACCCTAAAAGAAAAAATATATATGTATATACTTCCGGAACTTATGATGATAAATGTCAACTCACGATCAGCAGCATACAGTTCAGCAAAATAGGAATTGAAAAAACTGTCGAAATAAAAAGTCCGTTGCTATCGAAGTACTGTTGCTTTGAGAAGGAACTCCAGTTTTGAGCTGCGTATTCGTTAATGCTTTCGGTGAAATAAACCGCCAGCACTGGAAGAAAAAGCACATGCAAAAATCGGAAGCATTAGTGGACATATATCGGAAACCTCGGACATTACACGTACGTAGCACTAGGAATAGGAAAACCTGAAAATTTGAGTTGTTCCGACTTAGTAGAGCAGTTGTGGTGGTCATGATATGCACCAGTATAAGGCAAATAAGCCAAGGATCCTTCCAATCGATCTGAGAAATGTATAGCCATGTCAGCGTTATTGGATTTGTCACTATAATCAGACCACTCACACTGAGCAGAAATTCCCAATAGCCGGTGACCTCGTTGACCTCGATTTGCCCAGGATGCATCGTATATATAGTAATTTAATATATATTTGTTATCTGTAAATGTTTTTCTATCCCGAAAATGTTCAAAAGCCGAGTCAAAACAAATATCAAAGCCATTCACCACGAACAGCTGTCATTCGCCACAAACAGCTGTTATTCACATGGCAACGCCTTCACATGGCGGCCTATGCACGTTAAGACGGTCGTAAAATTTATTTCACCACGCAAGGCAATTTAGAAAAAAAATATTATTATTAGGAAAAGTCGTACGACTTGTTTAACTCAAATAAATAAAAATAAATCAGATAAATAAAGTATGACATGATAAATTTAGTAATTCTCAACCCAAATAGGTATCGTGCATAGGCGCCCTGCATGTCATGCCGTCTGAACGTGTCGATAACGCTTTCACTGACTCAGTAGACAACATTAACAAATCTGAAAAATATCACAAAGAATTCGTTGAAAAGCAGTCAAAATTGTAGTTATTAGGGCGAATCTACTCAATCCGCGCCATCCAGTTGTACGGGCAACGTGTGAATTGACGAATCGAACGGAGAGCCAGGCAGGATAACCCGGAAAAAGGGGTGATAAATGTGGCACGGGCCACCGACCTTCCCGTGCACCATACGCACATTCGCCAAGGATTCGGTGAAGTAAGTGTGCTGCCACTTCTGGCCGAGATCGGGCCGCGATCAACAGTGTACAGTGAACCGAACGGAAGACAACAAAAGGTCATCGCAACAACGTAACGACGACACGTAACGGAGCGCGGCTCAAGGACACGCGGCTCAGACTCCTCGCTCGGAGTCGCAGGCATCGGAAAAGCCGCAGTGTTCGGGCGCTAGGCAAGCCGAAGCCTCCATCTGCTGGTAGCTGGAAGCACCAGTCGGTCCAGTGGTCCATCCTCAGCCTTTGCGCCGCCCACTTCCACGCCCCAGCCCAAGCAAGGCGGCTGCTGCGCAGGATGGCCGTCAAGCAGAACAACAGTGAGGCGGGCGACGCCTCGGAAAACGCCGCAGGCGCCGGCAACGGGATGCCGCCCAACGGCAGTCCCATGTCCACCAGCGGACTGAAGCTGCCCGCCGAGAACGGAGGACCGGCCGAGGGCATGGACACGGGCTCGTCGGCCGGCGAGGGCCTTAACTCCAATCGACCTGGCAAGCGGGACATCAAGAGCCTGCTGGCCCACCTCCAGAGCATCGATCTGCCAGAGCAGGGCCACAATGTGATGGCCATCTGCGAGCGGGCCATTGTGGATCTGGCCCGACTGCAGATACCACGGACGCGGGGCTACTGTCCACGGCTCAAGGAGGACGTGTGTCAGGTGGGCGCCTTTCTGGCCACGCGCAACGAAAAGTTCCACCAGATGTTCTACCTGCGCGTCGTCTACGAGCTGATCACCAAGTCACCGTTCGAGCCGCCGCCCTCGTGCGCCGTGGCCATTGTGTTCCAGCTGTTCGACTCCAACCAGATCCTCGAGGCGGTGCACTCGCTGCTGGAGCAGAATGTGCAGGACGCGAGCATCCGGAAGACGGTGAATCTGCTGTGCGACTGGATCACCTACTGCACCTTCTGCAGCAATCTGAATCTCTGGGTGCTGGCCCTGCTCACGGGCCTGCGGGACCAGGGCAAGCGGGTGCTGCTGGACGAGATTGCGCTGGACAACATAGAGAAGCTGTTCCAGGTGATGATCTTCCCGGCGCTGCGACAGAAGGCCGCCCCAGTGGTGTACCACATGCTCTCGACGATTAACCAGACGCCCGAGGTTTTTCACAAGGTTAACTCGGCTCGATTATTATCTTGAATCTCTCAATTGAGTTTTGGTTTTGGTTTTTTCAGATCTTGCCAAGGATTCCCCTTGTACTGCAGCACATGAAGAACCAGTCGGCCACCACGGATGAGATTGGTCTGGAAGCCCGCAATTGTCTGCAGCAGCTGGTGGACCTCACCAGCGCCCTCATGCTGCGTTTCTACGATCAGGATGACCTCTATGTCGCCGCCAAAAAGGCCCTGCAAACGTTCGAGCCCTCTCCCAATTGCGTGGCGTTGGCGCGGGCCATGCACGAGAATGCCCAGCCGTGGGGTCGGCGGAATGCGAGGGTCGGGCTGGTGAACCTGGGAAACACCTGCTACATGAACAGCGTTCTCCAGGCACTGGCCATGACCAGCGAGTAAGTCAAGCCAGAAATCCTTATCTCCTTTGAGCTCCGACTGTTTAAACAGTATTTAAATTGTATGAACTTATTAAATTGTGTTTTAATTAACTATCAAATCAATAGAAATAAGATGGATTTGCCCTTTAGAGCATTTCTTTGTTTAGGATACATAATTAGGTTGCATAAAGTTTACAAACTTTGTTTATTAACTGCCTTTTAAATGTATATTTAAGTACTAAATCTATTATTCCTTCCTTTGGTTAAAAACTGTTTTTAAATTGGGTTTTAATGTATATTTAAATATCAATTCTAATTCAAAACTCATTCCAAACTTGTCTCCTCCAGTTTCAGCAGACAGATCCTGCTCATCGAGTGCGACTCGCTCCTGCTGATGAAGGTTCAGCAGCAGATCGCCCTGATGCACCACTCGCTGCGCTACGAGCTGACGCCCTCGCGAGTGCTGAATGCCACCCGACCGCCCGGGTTCACGCCCGGCCTTCAACAGGACAGTTCCGAGTTCCTAGGCTATCTGCTCGACCTGCTGCACGAGCACGAGATCAACAGCCCCTCAGCCGCTGGTCGCAGTGCCGCTCCGCCGAAGGCCAGCTCGGCAATCGAAGACGTGCCCGCCCTGCTGAGCGAGGAGATAGTGACCAGCGGCGTGATTCCGTACAACAGCAAGGATCGTGAGCTCGGCAGCGGCAGCGGAGGCAGCAGTGCCAATGGCAATGGCAGTCACAAGCCCACACCCACAACACCTCCTGCGACACCCACCAAAGGCACAAACGGCTCGCAACAGCCGGGACAGCCGGCGATTCCTGCGAGGCCACCGTCCACCATCGACAAGACGTTCGCCGGCAAGCTGTCCACCACCTACCGCTGTCTGAGCTGCGGCTGGGAGAGCCGGAACGAGGACAGCTTCCGGGAGCTGCAGCTGTCCTTTCCCGATGACAAGGACGACTGCGGAGCCACCAACTACTCGGTGCAGGATCTGATCGAGTACTACTGCTCGCCGGAGAAGCTGGACGGTGACAATCAGTACTTCTGTCCGCGCTGCAAGAAACTCTGCGATGCGGAACGCCACATCGGTGTCACCCAGGCGCCGAGGAACCTCATACTCACGCTCAAGCAATTCAAGTACGACCAGAAGTACCACTTTCGCACCAAGCTGATGCATAAGGTGTTCCACGATGAGAGCGTAAGTGGACTGCCAGTGTGTGTACTGGATCGAACAACTAAACAACTAACACCCTTTTTTTTTTTGTTGGCATCACAGGTCACCGTAAAGATGTGCGCCACGGACTCGCTGCAGGAGATGTCCACGGTGCACTACGATCTGTATGCCGGAGTTGTGCACGCCGGCTACAGCATGGATTCCGGCCACTACTTTACATTCGCGGCAGATCAGGCGAAGAACTGGTACAAGTTCAATGACAACTTGGTTACCCACTCGCAGCCGGAGGAGATGCACAACCTCACCTCGCCCAACACGCCCTACATCCTGTTCTACAAGATGTGCGGCCGCTCCAACGAGTCGAATGGAGCGTCGACCAGCTGCAGCTCGAGCCTGGGCTCGGGTTCGAGCCACCAAGTGGTCTCGGTGCCGCTGTCGCTGCCACTAACGCTGGAGGAATTGCCGCGCCAGCTGCGCGACTACGTGAAGAAGGACAACCATGTCTACAACGAGGAACTGAAGATGCAGCGCTTCAAGCGCGGCGGCGGCGGCGGGCATGGCGGCAATGGGTTCGTCAGCCGGCACAGCTTCGATGGCGATGGCGACGAGGATGACCAGGCGCCACCGCCGTCCGGAGGATGCGGTGGCAACGGACTGGGCATGAACATCAACCGTTTCGTCTTCTGAGGAAGTACAAGCGAACGCGACGAGCACTCCGGAGGCCACTAGAACATATATTTGTCTACTTTATAAAACACGCGCATACTAATCTAAATGTTACATATATATATATATATAGCCAGTGCATAACCAATCGAGGTATATACGGCTACGTATATCGAGTGTGTGAGAATCAATGGCTGCTGCTGCTGCTGCGCTTTCCGTTTGCTCGTTCGCCAGCTCTTTCCGTTGCTGTCCATGTTTTTTGTGTCCTGTTTCCCCATTCCCATCCCTCGATCCTTCCCCCCCGAGAAATCATCCTACTCATCCACTCATGCACACGCGAACTATCAATGTATTTCCATTTACGAAATTGTTATGATTTTTTTGTTTTTGTTAACACAAACCTAGTTGTAGAACGAGCATATAAGCGTACACATACATATATATAATTATAACGATTAAAAGCATCTAAATTAGCCAGAGAAGAGAGCGACAAGCGACATACTCGAATCCGATTCTGAATCCGGAATCAGCCGATCTAAGAAGACCACTTACTTCCAAAGCAGTAAATCAGAAACGTATGCACCTTAGTTTTAAAGGCTCGGACTAAAATCATATCTCGAGTTGCAATCGAACTAGCAAGAAGCTACGCAAAGCGATCGACGCCACAGTGACTTGTATAAATAGTTGGCGAGAGCGAGATCGAAAACGTATTATTAGTTTCCCTGTTAATTTTTGTGAATTTTAAAAAAAATTGATAATATGCGACACGAATTTGTAATTGATATATTTGTGAAGGTATCTCTTTTGATCTGGTGAGCAGAGGTTGCGATGAGTTTTGAATGTTATTGCAATTAAATTGGAATAATTTCAAAGAAATTTGTATATGGTGTATGTCTATTGATAACCAAAATCTATACTATGCTATGCTATAAGTGTATCAATAAAGAAAAGAACAAGCCCAAGTACTCGGACTCATTTGAATTGGCATTAGTTATGGTAAGAGGAAATCGACTTTGGATCTATTTTGAAATTAGGAAAAGATTTTTTCATAAAAAAAATTTTCATTAAGAAATAGGTTTTCAGAAAATATCCATTCCATTCGAACTTTACATAAAAAGAGTTTAGCAAGTATGTAATCGTTATATATATGGTAATTAGGAAATTACCATTATTTAGTCAATGGCAATAGATTTTTAAAAGCTTAGGATGGGTTATTTATAAGGAAAAAATTATATGCTTACTTAGTTTGAACAAGAATGGAAGCCAAGCTTTGGGTATTGATACATTTATTTTCAAATACAAATCAAAACACGCAAACAAGTTATACAAAAAAAACTTAATTATTTTAGAAAAGATCAAATATGTATTTTTATTAAGGAACAATAATTTGAACAATAGTTCAGATCGTTTTTCTTGGTGTATACTTATCTAATTTCCGGAACCATTTTAAATTCGTTTGGCAGCACCGTTAAAGGCTTATCCAAGTTTTCAACCATATGGTTAATTCCATATTTTGGTATATTTAAGCCGTCGAAGTGCGGTCACACTATACAACTTTTCTCAAAAAGCGCCAAAATTTTACGTTTATTAGGATTAAGACTTATTTTTATAAAACAAAAGCGAGATTTATTAAGAAGGCCTCTAGGGAAGGCAACCCAAATTCACCGGCAACGAATCACCCTTGAGTATCATCCGCACCATGTCCTTTTTCGGAGCCAACACGTCGCTGGGAGCAACAAGCACGCCGACCAAAAGTGAGTTTCCGTAAACAAGACACCTCATGCCCTCTTCTCCAGGTATTTGTGGGGTCCATTCCCACTTGGCGGTGGCTGCAGCAGCCTCTTGGCGTCCTGCAAGCTCTGGATACGGATGTCCTTGGGATCGATGCTGAAAGCAGGGGATATTGTATGTTGTTACTCCCCAAAAATCACAGACCAGTGGATCTTACCCCTTCTTGTGGATCACATAGGCCACATATCCCACGAAACCCAGCACGAGGACTAGCAGAATGAAGATCACCGCCATTTCCCACGACCAGCGGGCGTTAAGAGCTCGAAATAAACTAAAACTAGCTTAGAATTTCGAACCCCGAAATCGGGTCAGATAAGATCGCATGGCAAAAGCCTAGTTTCCCAATCGCTGACCCATTTTCCCGCCTTCTTATCTCTCCGCTCAGCAACTGGCGGCCTCTTCGGAACACCGTTTGGAGAAGCAGCAGCAACCAGTCAGCCGGCACCCGCATTCGGAGCCCAGGCCGCTCCGACAACGGCCTTTGGCTCCCAGCCGGCTACCTCTGCCTTTGGTGGCGGTTCCGCCTTTGGAGCATCCGCTGCTGCTCCTGCTTTTGGCGCCCAGGCGGCGGCTGCCCCGGCTTTTGGCGCCCAGACAGGTGCCCCGGCTTTCGGAGCCGCCACCTCAACACCCGGCTTCGGTGGCTCCGCCTTTGGCAGTGCCCCGGCCTTTGGAGCGGCCACGACTACGGCGGCGGGCACGGGACTTGGCGGAGGCGGTTTCGCCGGATTTGGAGCAACTCCGGCAACGAGTCAGGCCAGTTTGTTTGGTGCTCCAGCCACGAGTGCTGCGCCACCGGCTTTCAGTGGATTCGGTCAGCCGGCGGCGGTGAGTACAGCGCCCGCAAGTGGATTTGCGGGCTTTGGGACAACGACAACTTCGGCACCTGCTTTCGGCGGCTTCGGAACCAGCCAGTCCACTGGCTTTGGAGGCGGAGCCTTCGGATCCAGTGAGTTTAATTGCGGCGACCAATTAGTTTCTTTTTTTTTGTGTGGCATTCCTAACCTGGTTCATGTTTCAGCCTTTGGCAAGCCTGCAAATTCAACAGTCACGCCGGGATTCGGTGGCTTCGGTGGCACTAACTTTATGCTTGGACAGCCGCAACAGCAACCGGCGCCCATCTCGGCCGACGAGGCCTTTGCCCAGTCCATTCTCAATGTGTCCATTTTCGGCGACGACCGGGATAAGATAGTGGCGAAATGGAACTACTTGCAGGCCACGTGGGGCACCGGCAAGATGTTTTACTCCCAGAGTGCGGCGCCGGTGGACATCACGCCGGAGAACGTAATGTGCCGCTTCAAGGCCATCGGCTACAGTCGCATGCCGGGCAAGGACAACAAACTGGGGCTGGTGGCCCTCAACTTTTGCCGAGAACTCTCTGCCGTTAAGTAGGTAATTGTGACTACTTTTGCGGACCGGGACTCATGATCTCTTCTTTAGGCCACACCAGCAGCAAGTGGTGCAAACACTACATAGCATGTTTGGCAGCAAACCCAACATGCTGGTTCACATTGACTCCATCAAGGAGTTGGAGAACAAGAAGTGCCAGATGGTTATCTACGTGGAGGAAAAGCTGCAGCATGCGCCCAACGAAAGCAAGCGGATATTGGCCACCGAACTATCAAACTACCTGAATCAGGCATCGCTGAAGCCGCAACTGAACAATCTTGGCATTGTGGAGGCCTTGGCTCATGTCCTGCCCGACGAGGATCAGTTGAAGGAGTACCTCGAGAATCCCCCGAGGGGCGTGGATCCGCGCATGTGGCGCCAGGCCAATTCGGACAATCCGGATGCCAGCAAATTGATACCAGTGCCCATGGTCGGCTTCAGCGACCTGAAGTGGCGCGTCAAGTGCCAGGAGCAGGAAACGGACACGCATGCGCTGTACATGAAGAAAGTGGAGGGTGAACTGACGGAACTAAGACAGCGACATGCCACGGCCACAGCCAAGATTATAGAACATAAGCGAAAATTAGCCGAGCTAGGACATCGTATACTCAGGGTAGGATAATGTAACATTGATATCTGCTCTATTATTAATGGCTTAAACTTTGTCGCTTACAGATTATCGTGAAGCAAGAGTGCACCCGCAAGGTGGGAACCTCATTGACGCCCGAGGAGGAGGCCATGCGCACCAAGTTGCAGAACATGCAGGCCGTCGTCTCCGCTCCCACCCAATTCAAGGGCCGGCTCAGCGAGCTGCTCTCCCAGATGCGCATGCAGCGCAATCAGTTCGCCGCCAACGGAGGAGCCGAGTACGCCATCGACAAGGAGGCCGAGGACGAGATGAAGACCTTCCTCACCATGCAGCAGCGCGCCATGGAAGTGCTCAGCGAGACGGTCAACAAGGACATGAAGGCACTGGACGTTATCATTAAGGGACTGCCCGAACTGCGGCAGTCATGATGGGAGGAGGACGAATGGTTAGATGGATGGATGGCTGATATGTTGAATAAATCCCGCACATGTTGAATACAACCTGGCGATTTTCAATGATCGATTTTCAAGTCAACGAACAAGTTGTGGCCGTTACACTTTTGCCATTATGCCGTCGTCGTTTAGCGTTTCCTGCAGCTTTGAACTTGCACTTTTACGGCAATGAGCGCGTCGAGACAATCGAAACGGGTTCACACATCGTCCCCATTGCTGCGGAAATAATAATTGTGTGGGTCAATGCACTTGTACACTCACGGAGCGCCCGACTTTTCCCTGGCCACGGCCTCAAATTGGACAATTTCGACGGCTAGGCTCGGACTCATTATGAGTGACAAACGGTTCGTCTCTGGCCAATCCAGTTTGTTCAACTCCAGCACTGGGATTGCCATCGCCTCGCCATCGGTGTTACATTAACATTATTATGCGCTCTGGCGTGCAGGCATACATGTGCAGATCTAGTTTGGCTCGTTACATATTTATTTCTCGTGTGGGAAACTTGTTTTTCTCCCAGCCAACCATCAGGCTCCCGGGTCTGGTTTGTTGTTGGCCATTGATGGCGGAGACTTCCGAGCTTCCGTTTGCAGCACGGAGCGCCAGTATAAATGATTTGGCCAGCTCCAAGGAGGCCTCACTTCGTGTGAGATCTTTGAAAGTGAAGGTGGTTCAACTGGAGCACTGCCTATGAGTAGACGAAAGTGATTCGCACAGATCAATTGCAATTTAATTGGACATGCATGGTTTACTAGTTGTGAGTCTAGGGGGATCACGGATCATTGGAGAAACCGGATTGCTAAATTCTCTCCTCCTTGCAGCTGCTGTTGTGCGCCTTCTGCTGCAGTGTGGCCGCCAAGCCTCCGGCAGCTCGGCGGGCACAGCTGCACGACGATGTCCAGCTCATCCACCCGCACATCATCACCATAGAGCGATTGGAGAACCTGCTGCGCCGTGCTGGCGAGATCTTTGGACCCGCTCTGGAGGAAGATTCCATGGCGGAGGCCAGTGACCAGGTGCCGGAGCAGGTGCAGCCGCAGTTGCAGCCGCAGCAACGCATGCTGCCGCCCACGGAGCAGCCGTACAACTTCTATCTGCCGCTCTTCGACTACGTGGAGCCCAAGCTGGACGCCAAGAGCCGGATGATGGAGAAGATTGCTCCGCCGCCGCAGCGATCGGAGCACAACTACTACGCGGACAAGCCAAAGAAGAAGCCAAAGAAGTTCAATGCGGCCAACAAGCACATCAATCTCAACCTCAAGTGGCTGAACACCTACGAGAAGGCCATGGGCGGACCGAGTGCCCCCAAAGCTATGTACCTGGAGCAGGACGAGCGCAACCGGATCAACTTCGACGACTCCTTCTTCGCGGTGGACATGCAGGTGAAGATGCCGGACAATCAGCCGCACAAGGAGACTGTCGTGCCCGCAGAGCTCCTGCAGCACGGCGAGGAGCAGGCCGAAGAGGATCTTATGGCGGCTCCGGCGCAGATGGCGCCCGTCAGGATTGAGCATCGCACATAGGTGGGTTTTTTGTTCATAGGTTTTAGTCAGTTGTATAAAAATGCTACAATAAATGCACTCCCCGAGTAAAGTGAGTAAAGGCTAGGGAGAAGCGCCACTTACTGGGCCTCCTTCTTCTTGCGCAGCTCCTTGCAGAAGGTCTCGGCGGCAGCTGCCTCGCGGGAAACGGGCAGGTTGCGCAGGGCCTCCTCCTCCTCCAGTTTCTTCACGCCCTCGCGCACCACACGCTCAATGTCGTCCAACAGTCCGGAGGCACCGAAACGGAACCGCTCGGGATGCAGCCAGCGGATTCCCAGGGTCTCGTTGACCATCGTCATCCAGGCGATGGCATCGCGCACTGTCTTCACTCCGCCGGCCGGCTTTAGGCCCACAATCTGGCAGGTGCGTCGCTTGAACTCCTGGATGGCGAATATCATGACCAGGCCAACCGGCAGGGTGGCATTTACGGTCTCTTTTCCCGTTGAGGTCTTGATGAAATCCGCTCCAGCCAGCATGCAAACCATGGCTGCTTTGTAGACCTATATGGTATGGGGTATGGGCATATAAGATTTGGATTGTGGTTAAGCCTGTGGTCATACATACATTCTCCATGGTGCCCAGCTCACCGATGGCCAGGATGGTCTTCAAATGGGCCCGCTGCCCGCAGGCACTGCGCATGAGCACCACCTCGTTGTAGAGGGCCTCCCAGTCGCCCACCAGCGCCAACTGCCGGTTGATCACAATGTCGATCTCGGTGGCGCCGGCCAGGATGGCGTGGCTGATCTCCTGCAGGCGCGTCTGCAGCCCATACTGGCCGGTGGGAAAGCCCGTGGCCACCGCCGCAATGGCCACCTTGTCCAGTTTGCCGTACTGCTGGAGCGTCAGGTAGGCATCCTTCACCCTGGCCGGGTAAACGCAAACGGCAGCCGTGTACATCTCGGGTATGAGGGCCCGGTCGAAGAACTTGTCGAAGAACTGCGGCTCGAAGGGATAGCAGGCGCGGAGGCACAGCCTCCGGACATTGGCCGCCGTATCATCGCCGGCCAAGGTGGTCAGATCCGTAAGCATCAGGGCACGTAGTGCCCAGGCGATCTCGTTGGCCCCGGTCACATGGCAGCGCTGGGAGATCGTCGTGGCGATCTCCTCGATCTGGCGCAGCGAGATATTCACCGTCAGCAGCGAGGGGTCTTTAAAATTACATATATGTACATATGTTACTGATTGTACGCTCGTCGGATTTTGCAATTACTCACCAAAGGGCAGGGTTTTATTTACTTCCAGTTCCTTCACATCCATGTTGCTGGTTACCTGTTAAGCCCGTAAATTCGTATGATTGCTGACCACTTGAAGATACAATCGTTCACGCGATCTTGACCCCTAATCTTCTCCTGAACCTCAACCGAAAAACATGGAAATCTTATCAATTTGATTGGCGAACAGCTGATTGCAGCGTTGCCAGACCGCGCTAAGTAACTGATAATTTTAGAGCACGAAACCGTTACAAGATCACCGGTCACAAATAAACAACATATGTTGTAACGCAAACGTAGAGATTATAAATACAAATACCAAGTGTTGTTCACATAAAAAATGCTTAGGTAACTTTGTTTATTGCTTTAATACTTGCCAAAGGCACCTATCGTAAATATTGCATTTTTTCATTGGGATTTCAATAAGTACAAGGACATGTATTTTTTTGTTTTAAATAATTCCGCGACACCGAGGTAAAAAACTAATTTAATTGCGCTAATTGAACTACTGCTTCGTAATATGGGGTTTTAGCGATGTTTGGCCCACTGCTCCCAGTATTCCCGCTTTTGCATTTCGTAGAGCCGTGAAATCGTGCGATCGAAGGCGAACAGCTCCTCTTCGCCGGTGAAAAAACTGGATTTAGACTCGTTCTGAAAGTTATAACAGGTTTTTAGGGGGCTATAAATGTAATCAATATGTGGCACTCACTATTTTCAAGTCATCCATCAGATTCCGCTCGGAATCGGAAAGACTTCTGGAACCTCCTGTGAAACTGAACAAACTTTCCAGCGGCACATCTGCCGATAATACCACTCGCACTCGGTTATTGTACAGGGTATCGATAAGGGTTATAAAGCGTCGCATCTGCGCCTTCACATCCAGGGTCAGTTGGGGCACATCTCGGATGAGGACGGTGTGAAAGAACTGCGAGATCTGCAGGTAATCGCTGCCAGCCAGAGGCTTTTGGTGGGATATATGTGTCATTAGTATGTGTCAGCTATCAATTCACTCATTTGCTTACGCGGTCACAAAGCTCTCCGAAGGTGCTGTCCAGCACCTGGCCGCAGGTGCGATTGAAGGTCAGATCCCTGCCGAAGTGAGTGAGGGTTCGCGGTCGGATTATATCGTTCTCCTCGGCGCACAGGATCTTGAACATGCGATTCATGCTACCGTCCGCATCCGTTTGACCCTTGACGAAGTAGTTGGTGTCACCCGATTTCGCTATCCGCCGGTAGTCGATCGAATCCAGCTGGGACACCTTGCAGCGCCGCTGAAGCAGCCCGATAAAGGGCAGAAAGTTCGTGCGCTGCAGGCCGTTCTTGTACAGATCCTCGGGATGACGATTGCTGGTGGCCACAACCACGATTCCGTGCCGAAAGAGGTGGGTGAAGAGGCGCTTGAGCACCATGGCGTCGGCAATGTCCGTCACCTGGAACTCGTCGAAGCAAATCAGCCAAGATTCGCGGGCAATCTGGTCAGCCACGGGTTTTGTTGGATCGAAGGGTGCGGGCTTCTCCGAGTTGAAGGCCCGGTCTACGGGTCCCTGCTCCTTCTTGGCCTCGTGGATGCGGGTATGCACGGTGTTCATGAACGAGGTGAAGTGGACGCGCTGCTTGCGATCGATCTAAACGCCAAATGGGCAGGTTATTTTGCTCTCTCGAGGACCTAAATCAGAGTACTTACCTGAGTGCAACAGTCGAAGAAGAGGTCCATTAGCGTGGTCTTGCCCACGCCCACGCTGCCGTAAAGGTAGAGTCCTTGAGGTGCGTGGCTTCCGGCGTTCGGATCATCCTGATCGTCGTTGTCGGAGGATTTCCGGCCGAAAAGGGAACTGAAGAAGCCTCCACCGCCACCCGTTTTGTAGCTGGGTCTATACCCCTGAATTTTGTGGTACAGTGCGTCCAGCTCCTTCATCGTCTGGGACTGCCTGTCGTCGGTCATCAGTTGGCCGGATTTCACCCGCTCTTCGTATTCCTTCAGCGGACTGAGGAAACTCTTGTGACAAACGGGCGCCCACAGCAACAGCGGCTTGTGCCGCGCGCAGCGGACCACGACCCCGAGGTGGTAGTGAAGCATTGCAGGACAATTAGCGCAAAGGTCGGAGATTTCTCCTCGTCACCTAAACATTACATAAAACTAGAGACTTCCGTGTTGTTGACCACGAAATTTTGGCTGTTGGCCGTGAAATTTTTGGGACCAGGGCTGCGGGAAACGACAGCTGATCCGACAGCTGTTTGTAGAGCTGCCGGACCGCTCGAAGAGTTGCCAGATCTTTCGAATCTAACTGCTGTCTTAAATTTAAATAATCTTGAAATGGAAATTGAAAGCTGCTCAAAAACAAAGATCGCAGGATCACATTTTGATTATGAACATTTACTTTTCATTAAGATATTAAAAACCTAGAAGCTTTCCCTAACTTAAGAAAACTTATGTGGAAAGGTACTGTTTAAAAGTTAAATATCTAAATACGAGCCATTTTAAGCATTTTTGGCTTATACAAAAAACAACAGAAAAATCAAATTTAGGTTTTAAAATACATGAACATTTAAGATGTTTGTGGCAATTCAATACCGACCACTAATAAAGGTTTAACTGACAAGGAATGCGAGGTAGCGAAAGGATTAATAAGCCCATAAAACTTGTTGTGATCGCGTTCAAATCTCATGAGTAATAAAAATGGCCAATGATCGCATTACTGTGTTACTTCCTGGACAGTCGTATAGTTTGCGTGATTTGAATCAGATATGGTCAGGTGTTGTTCTTGATTAGTTTTTCCCCATTTATAACGGCACTTAAAAGCTGTTTACTTGGGATTTTCTTTTGCTACGATTTAACAATCAATGGGAAAGATTAGATTCAGATAGGAGCCTTTTTGAAAACCACTTACATATTAAAACCACTATAAGCATTCCTAAGTTCCCAGTAAATTCAGTTAAGTTGACTTAATTTGTCGTACAAGCATAAAATTCATTTGATATATTAGCAGGAATTTCAGCTTAAGAAGTGGCGTTAGCCAACTAGAATTTTTCGTGGACGTGGAAAACAACGACGCGGATTAATGTACTTAGATTATAGGCTCAAGACCTCGAGACTTTGGAGCAGGGTATTAAGTAGTCATGGCCTGGGCCGAATTACATTGCTGCACTATCTTCTGCAGGCACAGATAAGATGGTACAGGTGTTAGCCACTTGCAGTGGATCCACTCAAGGTGTCTATCAAGATTGGATTCCCAGGGTTCTGACTCCCTATAAATGGAATTGCACTTACCCGCGTGCACCACAGTCTACTGCATTTTCTGACGGCGAGCAAGTTCTTCGAGGAAACCATGATACCCATCACCTACAACGAAAAGGATGGAGTCTGGAGTGGAGCCAAGCGCAATTCCATGTACAACTATGACACCTCCGTGGGCAAAATCATCTTCAACAACATGAAGAACTGGCCCAAGAACGTGTGTCAGGTTAGTTTTGTCCTCTAATAAAATAGAATATTCTAAGCTGAACCATACCCTCTAGATATGTGATGTTGATGGAGTGACGGTGACCTTCGAGCAGGGACTAACCTGGGCCATTCGGATAGCCCAGTATCTCAAGAAGAGGGGTCTTAACCATAAGGATGTTATTGGCATTGCGGCCAAGAACTCAACTTATGTAATGCCCCTTGGAGTAGCCTGTCTGATGAATGCGACCCCATTTCACTCGGCTAATCCTATTCTGGATGATGGTTGGCATGAGGTCTTGGAAACATTAAACTACTATATTTATATATATCTCTCTGAATCTATTTAGCAACCCTAACCCATGTGTTCTCGATCACCAAGCCAACCTTAATATTCTGCGATGGAAACGAATACGAGAAGGTTCATAAGGCTACGGTGGGATGGCATCCGGAAATCTTCACCCTAACCGATCATATTGGAGGGGTTCAGAGCATCGAGACCCTGCTGGATCCCACAACCACTGAAAGGATGTACCAGTAAGTACACCCTTTTATTAGATAAGATAACTACTAATCATGGATTATTTAGACCGGAAGAACTCAAGGAAGGTGGCGACCAAACCGTAGCCATCCTCTGCTCCTCTGGAACTACTGGCCTTCCCAAGGCTGTCTGCATTTCGAATAGCATACTCATCCAGGACAGCATGTGAGTCTGCCTTCCTAACACCCTGAGGAAAATAGTTAATATTCATTTAAATCCCATACCATATTAGGCTAATCACGAGCCAATCGGTCATCTATGTTGGAAGCTGCCTGGACTGGATCACGGGTCTGTGGGCTTTTGTCTTCAGCGCCGTGTTTGGAGCCACACGGATCATCAGCAACAAAGGGTTTACCCCCGAGTACTTCGTGGGTCTGGTGAAGAAGTACAAGATCAACTATGCCGTGCTCCCGCCTCGCCATCTGTCCGCCTTGATCACTTGTCCGGATGCCAAGCCAGAGGCCCTGGCTCCGATCACGCACCTCAACTACGGCGGAGGATCCGTTTCGCTGGCCACTCTGCAGCGATCGCAGGAAATCTGCAAGACGGCCATGTTCAACTCGGGCTACGGAATGACGGAGGTGGGCGCCATCACGATCAATATCGGGATCAGCAACGTCTCCTCGGCGGGCAGACCCATTCCGGGAATCAAGATACGGATCGTGGACGAGGATGGCAAGAACCTGGGCTACAACGATGTGGGCGAGATCTATGTGCACACGGGTCAGGCCTGGAACGGGTACTACGGCAATCCCGTGGAGACGCGTCGCATGCAGGACTTCGAGGGATGGTTCCACACCGGCGATTTGGGCTACTTCGATGAGCAGAACTTCCTGTACATAGTGGACCGCAAGAAGGAGATCCTCAAGTACCAGGGTCTCCACTACTGGCCCACCGAGATCGAGGCCGTCATCACCGAGCTGTCCCAGGTGCAGGATGTGTGCGTGGTTGGCATTTACGATGAGCGGGAGGGCGATGCGGCCGGGGCTCTGGTGGTCAGGAGCAAGGGAGCCACCATTTCCGCAAATGAGATAGCCGACCATGTGGCCAAGCGACTGCCCGCCGTGCAGAAGCAGCTGAGGGCCGGAGTCCAGTTCACCGACAAACTGCCCGCCAATGTCAATGGCAAGACCATGCGCAAGGCGGCACGCGACGTGTTCGTTGCCCAGAGTGGAGCGAAAAAGTGAGATCTCAACGATCCGCACACACAATATAGTCTAGTTTTAATCACAAGTGCTGGGAGATACTTCAGAAAGAATTGTGGCTGAAGTGTGACAGCGGGGTGACCTTTGG